CCAATTCATTCTCTCAGTTTCTCCTCCTTCAATTTCCATTCGTTCGATTTTATACCTCTACACCCAACATTAGTTCGAGAGGCAACAACTCCCACCGTGAGTAGCAGATAGTCCATTGATTTTAGCAGTGCGGAGTGCAAACTCAACCATCAGGCTAACCATGCATCTGTAGTGCTCGATTCATGGGATATTTTTTAATTTTTATAATTCGTTCGAAATACATGAAGCCCCCGTCCATAATTCCCCGATGTACAGGACCCCAACGAAAGTGAAAGGTACTGAAAGGCTTGGGTTTGGCTGAAATTTGTATTATTATTATTAGAATAATTTCTATCTTCCGATTTTAAATTCACAATTCATGGTTGAATTAACTGATTTTCATTTTGTATTGAATTTAATGTATAATTTGTTCTATTGACTGAGCCATGTTTACTCAATATAAAACGTAATATAAACCTTAGTTTAACTTTAGTGGCAGATAATCTCTCCAATAATGTTCTCGTTTCTGCCAATAAGATGAATATAAACTTTAGTTTTACTTTACCAACAAATATACGTAATATAAATTCTATTTCTATTTTATTACTCATCTTATGTTCTTAGCAACAAATACATGATGAATACAAGTATTTAAATAATATTACAATACAAGAAAAATAATGAACAAATTAAACAACAAATAAACCAACAATAAATTGTTGTTAAACAAATAATGATCAATACTCAAAATAACTTTTTTGGTAACATATGAATATAAAGATATGATTGATGAGATGCTAATATCTTATTAATTTCCTCCCATAACTGATTAGATTAGAAGCGTAATTTTAGTGTTTAATAATGTAAAAAGTCTAATGTTGATAATTAAAAAAGTTTATCACATATATATCATATATAAAGTTCAAAGTGGTTTACATGTGTACTTTAGCCTACATTTAACTGCAAAGTAGCATGTCAAGGCCATTCATCACATTCACATGGGACGTCTAAGTTGCGCGCGCCCAAGGCAGCACATTCCTGATGGAAACTTTAAACCAGAATATCTCCATCGTAAAAAAAAAAATTGCTACTAATTAGATTCATAAGAATGAGGAGCAAATCGTGATGCAACTTGTATATAAACCTGTACCACAAAAACAAGGTGCAACAATGCTGAAGACATGTAACGATCTTGTATCCTTTTTGTAACTGCAAAATCACTCGGGATGTCCACTTAAAAGATTGGACAGAGTTTGTGTTAACGATTTAGGGTCATAAAGTATCCCTCCTGATGATTCGCGTACGGAGTCAACAATTACCTACAAAAAAGATTTTTTGTGAAATTAACTATAAGAGAGAAAGATGAAAATGTGTGCAACACGTCATCTGGCAGGAAACGACATTACGAAATTGAGACATGGAAATTCATCATATTCATAGTTCTTAGTTATATGGTACTCTACTTTTCTGGTTTTTCGGCAAAGGCTTGATTTGTAGTGTTTATTTTTTATGTTTTCTACTGGTAAAAAAGGGAAGAAAAAAAAACAATTCGTATAATCTACAGAAAATACACACATACCACATGGAAAATCCCTTGAGCAGCCAAGGAATCAATATCTATAGGAATGTGGCCTTCTTTTGGTGCAAATACTGTGTTAATGTATTGACTTGGCTGCATAAAGAAATGGAAACCCTTGAGATCAACAGCTCTTTCTATGTTCATGCTACAAAATAATCTTGATATGCATTCTATTGAGAATAAGCATACCATGATAGAAACAACAAAATATATATAAGCCTGAAAAACTCACAGAATTAACAAGACAGTTATGAGGGCCTCCATATTTTCGATTCAGAGCATCTGTAATAGCTGTGACAAAGCAGGAAGCTGTAAAGTCGCAAGTTTCTCTATCGTGTGTGCCATTCAAGAGAAGTACCTGACACAACAAGGCCAGAAAAACCATGCAGAAGGACAAATCCGTATCATTTATATGTACTTCAAAAATTTACACGGAAATTCTTAAAACAAATGTAAGAGATAAGCTTTTCTATTTAAATTTCAAATGCTTTTTTTAAAATAAACTAGTATTCGACCTGTGCATTTGCACATATATAAATAAATTATTGTGAGTTTGTATGCATATAATGATTAATTATTTTTCTTTCACTTTTTTGCAGACAAAATTTACAATTAAAAGAGTTGGAATATTTTTTTTTTTAAAATTGCGTTTATCTGATTAGATGTAATGTATATTTTGGTACGTCTTTTATTTGTGAATTATTTATTATTTATTTAGGAATTTCAAATATATTTTTTATTTTTAAGAAAAAAATTAAATGTAACAACAATAATAACATCTAATCACATTATACGGTCAACACATTATATGGTCAACTGTCATTAATAAAAAATTTAAAATGATTTTTGTAATTTTGAAGTGATGAGTATTAATTATTTAATGATTAAATGAAAGATTAAATACATCAAAATGTAACGGTTTTTGGAGGGAAAATTATTAAATTGCCACATAGGTAAAATTAAATAGGTTTTATTAAATGTTTTGAGCTAGTAATTATATATATATAGATATTACAATATTATTTATGTTCAAAATGATAACTTTTCACTAGTACGATTTTTCGGTCTTTTATTTTAACAATTTTCCAATTCATATGTAATGAATGCATTTATAGATGCATGCCTTTTTGAGCTGATATATAATTTTATTAATTTTAATTAGTATTAAAGAGGACTTAATTTTATAATAACGAAAAAAAAAATTATTTATTTGATATAATATATAAAAATTTGACAACAAATAAAAATATTTATTAATTTATTTATATATTTATAATTTAAGTTAGTTAAGTGTTTTATAAATTTAAAACTTCTAATTAAGTGTTTTATAAATTTAAACCTTCAAATAGTTTTAGATACAATACGAATCTACATGGGCTACTCCGAATTACACTCGTGTATGTACATGAAAGGAAGTTTTATTTCACATTTTAAATCATTCTTACAAACTTAGATAATTATTTATAATTAAAATGACATTCATCACTATGTCACTTTTTTAAGTCATAATATGAAATGAATTGAATAGACAAATTTATTTAACTGATAAATAATTTTATTATTTTTTATTAATATTTATATAATTTATTTTTTATTATAAAGGTAAATATACATAATTATTTATATATGAAATATGAATGTCAAATCAATGCTCGTTATGAGACGACTAAGTTAATATATTATATATGATATTTGATAACAAATACAAAATTTAATAACTTTTTCAATATATTTGTATTTTAAGTTGGTCAAGTGTTTATAATTTCAAAAGTGCTAATAGACATGGATAGGAGTACAAATCTACTTCTATCACTCTGAAATCAAACACAGAATTACGAAGCATCAGAATTCAACACATACGAAGCACAAGAAATCAACATTTCTGATCAATACATTTTGCACTAATATATAGAGGGATTTATAGATATTTTTTTGAACTGATATATAATATTATTAACTTTTAAACTAATATTAAAGATGACTTAATTTTATATAAAGAAAAATAAAACTATATGTTTGATATATTATATAAAAATTCTTATCACAAATAAAAAATTAACTTTTAAATATATTTATGATTTAAGTTAGTCAAGTGTTTTATAATTTTACAATTTTAAAAGTGTATTGATAGAATACACATATACATGGGTTACTCCAAAATTATTTAATTGATAAATAAGTTTATTAAATTTCAATTAATATTGATATATAATTTAATTTTTATTATAAGATAATACATTTATGTATTTATGCAATATAGATGTTAAATCTAAGCTCATTATGAGACGATTAATTTGATATATTAGAAATGAATATCTAAGAACAAATACAAAAGCTATGAACTCTTAAAATATATTTATAATGTAAGTTGGTTAAATGTTTTATAATTCTAAACAAAGAAGCATCAGAAATTGAAATATAAATATAATCCGGATAGAGTAATGCTATAGAACCCACTTGAATGACAACTTGGGTTACAACTCAAGTGTAAATGCATTATTTTTTAATTTTTTGATAATGTATTTACACTTGGGTTGTAACTCAAGTTGTCATCCAACAAGTGGGCTAAATAGCATTAATATAGAGAGATATATATAATGTTGATTTAAGTTTGAGAGGGAAAACAAAAAGGTGAAGACATTTGATGTTCAGTCGATTAATCATTACCTTGGAGCATGCACGAGAAGAAATAATTTCCCCTATTCCATGTAACACCTGAAAATCAATCAAAACAGCCCCCTTCAATACATTTACAGATAGGTAATAGTGAGAACATTTTTCAAGCATAAATGTGGAAAGTCATTATAAATCATTTCAACTTAATTAACCGTGTTACCAGAGAGGGGCATATGGAAGTAAACAGTGAACCCATGGCAAAGATAATGCAATCAACACTCTTCAGTTGTTCCAAGACAGTAGGGTTCGCAGAAGGAAAGACCTGCTCAAGTAAAACACAACGGAAAACTAGATTAAAGATAGTATTTTTTTTTTTTTTTTTCTAATCTCTCCTATTTACAGAACGATTATCAAGAAGCAATTAACTAGTTCATATTAAATAGTGGAAGCATTCCTTACCTCGTGTAGTAAATTGCTACCTTCACTGGACATATAAAAGACCCGCTTTATTCTCGACGGAAGACATGGAATTAATGAGTTATTCTGCAATATAAACCTTCTTTAATCAAATGAAAATATAAGGACATTTATAATGAGAAATTATTGCGGGACTAAACAAATTACAGTTGAGCTATAAAAACTGATGAATGGGCGTACCTTATTTATTGGCTCCATAGATCCATTTGTCGGATGAGATATTTCATTCTGACCCCGCATTATAGTTCCATCCTAGCAGCCAAGAAAAAACAATAAATGAGAAAAGAATAACTTGGGTAGGCCTAAAATAATCTGTCTTCTGAAACCTTTTCCAGTTGATCTGCAATTTGCATAAAACTTGAAAAGCAGCAACTATTCAGAGAAAAATTAGCCTCCATTAAGAGCAAAAGTGTCCGACATAGTACGTTCTGAATTTCCAGGAATGATATTGCACATAATTATACTAAATTGAAGTTCATATGAAATCCGTGAATTTGCAGAAGAAGTTAACTTTTCTTACCCATAATTCACATCCCAATGTAAGCCTATCATTCGTGGATATAACAGGGAGAACAAGGCTTTCAGTAGGTATTGCTGAGACACGTGAAAACAAAAAAATCGCAGCATCTAAAGACTGAAAGAATATTCGGGCTCCAGCAAAGAAGAAGTTCCCAATGCTGCAAATAAGGTAGTCATGAAATGACAGAACAAGACTGAGTACAAATTCTTGAAGTTAACTATCCATAGAAAAAACTGAGAGGAAAAAAAAAAGGAATAATACAAGTAATTTTGAAAAAAGAAAAAGGAATAATTCTGACAGTGGGAATCAGATAGAAATAAGCATGATAATTACTGCACTATTAGGTTCCCTCTTAACCTCTTAATGTAAAACCCAAATTTTAGGATCCAAAATCCATCTTGTTCCATGCTAGAAGAATGCATTAGTTAACACGGAATATGGAGATATAAGGAGGCATAAAGCATTTAACACATAGCTGAAACAAATACTTGTACACACAGTGAAAATAGAACACTTACACCATTCCTATTTAGCCTAATACTCTAATTAATCGTTTTCACAACTTAAAATTTTCAAACTGCTTCCCCTTTCACTAATTAGGTTCCCAACCCGTGCTTCTTTGGATGGAAACTTTCCCTAAAACATAATCATAATAATTCGAGAATACCAACGTATAAAGAAAAATGAAAATAGAACACTTTTGCCAACTTAGTTTAGCCTAATTCTGCATTTCATAACTTTAATATTACGAAATGGTAACCCCTCCTCTAGTTAGGTACCCAAGCAATGCCAAGACTGAAACTTTCTCAAATGATCAATCACAATGATTCAAGGAAACAACAGAAAGAATTCAACAGTGGCTATTTTCCAAAAACACTTAAGCACCTTCCATTACTGAAGCAGAATGATTCGTCCGACCTCCTGAGGATCTGCAAAAATTAGTTTTTCCCCCATAAAAGGAAAAGTATAAAATTTGAAATGCTATATCAAACATTAGAACAATTCCAGTCGATACACACACTACCAAATAACAGATTGCAAATTCCAGATTCCAGATTCAGTCAAGAATTATATAATGACAGCAACATTGTCAGGAAGAAATTATGAAAAATAACAGATTGCAAATTCCAGATTCCAGATTCAGTCAAGAATTAAATAATGATAGCAACATTGTCAGGAAGAAATTATGAGACCTGATTCTGGAAATAAGCCAAGAAAGCTCTAATAGTTTCCCTGTACGGTTTTGAGACACCTGTCCACAAAGAATGGCTCCCTTCCACGATGTCATACCTGTTTGAATTGTTAATTTTAGCCAAACTGTAAATTGTTAGCAATGGCACGATAACACTACTGTATTTTATATAGGAAGATTATGCATTATCACATTTAGAAATGGATTAAATGAAATGGAGATAGTTAAAAACAAGATCGATCTTACTACCACTCTAGTTTTGCTTTATGTGGCTCAAGAGGTAATCGATGACCCAACAGTGTACGAACTGCAAGTGCTTCACCACTACTTTGATCAGACAGTCTCAAGCATCTTGAACGAATATCTCCAACAGCCGGACCACCTATAAACATATATTTTAAAAATAAACAAACAAAATATGTGTCTCACATTATTAACCAAGGCTCTCGTATAAACCTGCTTTAGTTGCCTAATGACTTAATGGACGGTCATACTGATAATAATAACCCATATGCATTATGAATCACCATTACAATATTATAGGACCTATCGCTCCTTGATCATATTCCTCGTTTTTTATCTTATTTCATGAAGAGTAGAACAATATTGACTAAAAGTAAGATATACACACACACACCAAGAACACGAACAATCTCAGCTGTGCTCCCTCCATCATCAGAAACAGGAAGAACGTGCGCCACGCGAGTTGTTAACTTCTTAATCTCCTCCACAACACCATTGAAGGCAGTTCCACCTACAGCACTGAAAAGATTTTAAATAGTTTGGAGGCAATATAATTATAAAAATGAAGCATGTAGTAAACATTGTGCAAATGGATTTGGGTATACTAGATAACAATTCACGAAGAAAGGAATATCTTCTGCATAAGCTATCTGATCTGACAGTGTGGACATGAACGTGAGATCTTACATGGAAGTTTTTGAATTATCAAAAAAGTATACTCCAACATATGATGAGGAAAGCTGCCTAGTTGAGAAAATATGTCATTGTTAGTATCTCAAAGAGGTAAAACTGTTAAGTATCACTTGTGAGCCCTTTATAAGCCCAAGTTCAAATCAGGCCGGGCAAATTAAATCATCGTAGATCCTAGATCAGGCCCGCTCTGATACCATGTTACAAACAATAGGGTTATGGGCAGTTAATACAATCACATTATGAACGCATTGGTGAGTCCAAAATAACCAGATCAAACGCCTCTTTTTGCCAACTCAATTCACTCTTTTCGTATCGTATTTTTATGCCGATATATGGACATAGTGCCTTTAGTATATAAGGGTTTATAATATACTTAACAAAAACCTTAGGATTATATTTATACTCGAACAAAAACATAAAACATCCTAATTAGGATTATAATTTGCCTTGCACAATGATATAGGACTTTCTAATTTTACTTATTTACAACTAGATTTTACTTCTGATAAATGAGTTAAGAGTAGAACTTATCTCAAAAAGCTATTTCAAAGGGAGACACCACACATACTTATACACAATAAGTGCCCAATAATTGTGGGGACAAATATAACATCACTTCCAAACAAAGAAACTTAAGTGTTCTGATAGTAGGGTGATAGTAGGGTAAATGGGGTTGGGTAAACTAATCCTTAAAGCTACTTTCAAATGGAGAGGGAACTCACACTTATACACAATAGCGGGAAGGTTTGAGTAAATTATATTTGTAGCATCCAACTTGGGGTTCATAATCTTTTATAATGGACTTAGGACCATGTAATGGGTTACTTAGAATGTGAATAAAATATGTTCTCCCAAGTCGTTGCATATTATTCATATGGCGAAAGAAACCGACTATTAATTTCGTTCGTCGTGAATTTTGTTTGACTTATAACAATTAATGAGTTTTAAACCCTTCTCTTGCAAATGTTGAAAATCATAAACACCCAAACTATCGTGGCTTGTGAGGTTCTCGGTGTTTTGAGATGTCGTTCAATTTAAATAAATATTATTTAGAGGGATCAATATTTAAGTTTATATTCAATGGAATAATAGAAAAATGTGTTTTAATCCGTTGTCCGTAATTCTTAAAGAAAACAAACTTGTTGGTCTCAAACTGGAAAAGGAGGACATTGTGTTGACCGCTGAGGGAGTACAGATTCGTACTCTCGGAGCTATGTTATGTCCGAACAAGCCTAGTGTTACAGATGAAGAGAATGATTGGTATGCTAAGTGGAAAAAGGCTGATCAGATGGTGCGGTGCTACATTTTGGCATCTATGTCAAATGTATTGCAACATCAACATCAATCCATAGGTTCTGCTTATGACATGCTTCACAATCTGAAGAAGGATATGTTTGGCCATCAGAGTTAGGCTGCATGTCTGAGGGTTCTGATGATGAACACTCTGATGGCTGAGGGGACGTCCCGTAAGGGAAGACATCCTTGGTGCAGCTAAACGAGCTGGAGATCGTTGGGGCTAATATTGACGGGTGAACTTAGGTAGATATCGTGCTCCAGTCTCTGCCGAGGAGTTTTGAGCAATTTCACTTGAACTACAAGAATAAAATGTTGTTTTCTCTCGCAGAGTTGCTCACACAACTCTAGTCGGCAGAAGGGTTGGCAGGCTGGGACTTATTCTTTTGGTCCCGAACAAGAGAAATAAGAAAAAGAGGTGTGCAAGAAAGGCAAAGGCAGTTGCGGTTGTGGCTGCTCCTAAGCCAAGAACTCAGAGGGTGGCGAATAAGCCGAAAGGCTTGCAGTAAGAGGACACTGGAAGGCCAACTGCTCAGTTATCAAGCACGGCTATAGAGGGGTTCTAGGAAACTCGGTGACTCAGAGAAGGAGAGTTTGTCGTCTACATGGGCAATGCCATGAAGACGATTGTTGTTGCAGTGGGAGACATTTTTCTTTATTTTGATAGAGATAGGAGTTTGGTTCTGTCTTTAGGTTTCATTATTTAAAAGAGGAGCGACGGGGGTGTTCGAAAATCGACACCAGATGAGGAGAGGAGCATGGTCCGACTCAATTCAAGGAAGGTGTTTGACGGTCGTAACCGCAAACACCCTCGCCCATGCCTCATAGACTAAAGCACGGTTGGTCGAGTTTCTCCTTGACACCACCACGCTCCCAATTGAAGGTGTGAGTTTGTCAAGTGCTCGACAAGCATAGAAATTATTTGTTCTGAGGCACGCACTTAAAGAGAAGTGGAAGGATAGCCCCAAAAGTGGGGGATATATCGACCGGCCAATGAAGCTTTTATAAGCCAATGGAGATGTATCTATACACACGTAGTGGGGCCCATTCATTGGTCTTGTTCCTGCACCAGTAAGTAGCCCAAACTCTATTCCACTGTGGAATCAAAAAGTCAAGGAAGGAGGCATGGCATGCCGAGAGACCTTCAAGTTAAAGAGACGCCCTTGCAGCACGAGCCATTAATCCTCACACTGGCGACAAATCTCGAGGAAGACAATGGTGTGAGCGTTGCCAAAGACCTGAACATCTGATAAAAACTTGCTGGAAAATTCATGGAAAACCAGTAGAGACTCGAAGCCTAATCGACCCAATCGTGATTATTGTCCTCATAAAAGTAACGCTCGCGTTAAAATTGCAGATGGTTCCTTGTCCTTGATTTTGGGAAGAGGTTAAGGATATCTTATTGGCATCAGTGCTTTGTAGTATAAAAACTGATATAAAGGCTTAAAACTGAAAAGAACAATGTGAAAACTTGGAATAGACAAAAGATGATTCAGAAAATATATGGACTTAGAAGCATTTTTACTTCTTATTCATACCAAATATTTATAGAGGAAACCAAAGGAAATAAACATGACTACAACTAATCTAAATAATCTCAACCAAAGGAAATAAACATGACTACTTCTTATTCAATATGGACTTTGGTTAATATATCTGCAGTTTGCTCCTCTGTTCTGCAAAAAAATTAACTTGATTTCACCTTCTTTCTGCTTCTCCCTCAAGTGATAAAGTCTGATGTTGAAGTTCTTCGTTTTTCCATGAAAAAACAGATCTTTTGATATTGCAATGGTTGCATGATTGTCTACAAAGATCTCTGTTGGCTCAGTTTGTTTCATGTTTCATGGGCAGATCTTCAAGAATTTTTCTAATCCAAATTACTTGATTCACTGCAGCATTTGCTCAGCTTCTGCAGTGCTTTGAGCCACTACATCTTGTTTTTTAGAACTCCATGAGAAAGCACCTGACCCAAAACTAAAACAATAACCAGTTGTGCTTCTCATATCATCAATAGAACCTGCGCAATCACTGCCAGAAAAACCTTGGAGTTGAAAATTATGGCAGCCTTGAAGCTGGAAATTGTAAAGACTAGAATACTTGATGCCGTAATCAGTTGTGCCCTTAACATATCTTAGCACACGCTTAGCAGCTGCAAAATGGATTTTACTAGCACAATTCATAAACCTTGACAATAGACTTACGACAAAAGTTATATCTGGTCTTGTGGCTGTGAGATACATCAAGCAACCAATCAGACTCCTGTACAATCCTTCATCAACTTTTTCAGCTCCATCTTCTTTGCTTAATTTCTCTTTCAGATTCATTGGTGTGCTGATTTCCTTGCAATCTTCCATGTGAAACTTTTTGAGAATTTCCTTTGCAAATTTCTGTTGGCATATGAAAACTTCTCCAGTACCTTGTTTCACCTCCATTCCCAGAAAATAGGACAACAAACCAAGGTCTGTCATCTCGAAAGTTTTGAACATATCAGCATTAAAAACATTCACCAGCTTCTCATCACTTCCTGTAACAAGCAAATCGTCAACTCTGCTGTACCAGGCTCTAGGGGCTTGTTTAAGGCCGTACAAAGCCTTTTCAATTTGAAAACTTTCTCCTCTTGTCCCTTAACTCGAAATCCCTCCGGTTGTTCAACATAGATTTCTTCTTGAAGAAAACCATTCAAAAAAACCGACTTCACATCCAGCTGATAGAGTTTCCAGTTATTTTGCGAAGCCAATGCCAACAACATTCTTATAGTATCCAAATGTGCAACAGGAGCGAAAGTTTCAGAAAAATCAACACCAAAAACTTGACTATAGCCATTCACGACTAACCTGGCTTTATGTTTGTTTATAGAACCATCAGCATTTAGTTTGGTCCTGTAAACCCATTTAACTCCAATGATCTTTCTGTCTTTGGGTTTGTCCACCAACTCCCAAGTGTCGTTCTTCTCAATCATTCTAAGCTCTTCCTTCATAGCTTCAATCCATTTGACATCTTTCTCAGCTTCATGAAATTCAGCGGGCTCAAAGACAGCAACATTGCTTCTTGCATACACATCAGATAATGATCTAGTGCCACGAACTGGAACATCATCTATATTGTTGTCATCAAGGTCATCAGAGAATTCTGAAAATTCTCTCTCTTCCCAACTCCACTGCTTGTCCTCCATGAATTTGACATCTCGACTTACAAGAATTTTCCCATTTTTAGGTTGAAAAATTCTGTAGGCTTTAGACGTGCTGCTATATCCAATACACCATGTTCTGCCTTCTTGTCAAGTTTATCTCTCTTAATTTGCGGCACATGAGAAAAACATAGGCAACCAAAAATTTTTAAATTTTGTAAATCTGGCTTATAACCTAACCAGGCCTCATATGGTGTCTTTCCTTCAACAGCTTTTGTAGGCAGCCTATTTAACAAAAAAACTGCAGTACTTGCAGCTTCAGCCCAAATATTCTTTGGCAATTCTTTTTCATGAAGCAAACACCTTGCCATCTCCAAGATGCTTCGATTTTTCCTCTCACTTACACCATTCTATTGAGGAGTGTAAGGAGTTGTGAGTTGATGCTCAATACCTGCATCTTCAAAAAACTTATCAAAAGTTGCATTCTGTACTCCTTCCCATTATCAGACCTCAATGTGCGCAACCTGCAATCACTTTGATTCTCCACCCAAGCTTTAAATTTCCAGAAAATATTAGCAACCTCAGCCTTTGACTTGAAGAAGTAAATCCAACAAAATCTGGTGTAATCATCAATAAATGTAATATAGTACTTATTACCATTAAAGATGATGTTCTTTGAGGTCCTCCAACATCTGAATGTATCAGCTGCAACTTGCGAGATGCTCTCCATGTGGTTTGAGGAAATGGTTTCCTAATTTGCTTCCCATATTGACAAGCCACACAATCAGCCAACTTTTCTTCAAGGAGTGGTACACCTTTCACAGTCATTTCTCTGCATATACAATAGTCCAGCATGGTGAAAGTGCCCCAGCCTTTTGTGCCACAGTTCTGCATTGTTGAGATGGCACGCAACTGTTACCTGTTCATCCTCCAACAAATTTAGAGAAAAACTCTTTGCCTTCATCATCACCTTGAATACATCTTTGCCCAATGCATCCTTAATAAAGCACCACTTATCGTTGAAAATGACTTTGTAGTCTTTTTCAAGGAGCTGTCCAACACTCAACAAGTTTTGATCAATATCAGGCACATATAAAACATCATAAATATGCTTCAAACCTGACAAACTCTCAATAGCCACTATGCCTTTTCCTTTGACAGGAATAAGCTGACCATTTCCAATCCTTACATTAGAGATAAAACTCATGTCTATCTCTATAAGAGCCAAATTGTTAGTCATGTGATTGGTGCAGCCACTATCTATCAACCAAGATTCTGATGAGTTGTTCTTAGTTGCGAAACATGTGACCACAAAGAGTTGTTCTTCATCTTCTTCTGTTTGTGCCTTTGATGCTTCAGGTTGTTGGGATTTGCAAACTCTTTCCATGTGCCCCATGTTCCCACACTTCCTGCACTTGATATCGGGCCTCCACCAACACTTCCTTGGTTGATGGTTCGACTTCTTGCAATGAGGACAAGGAGAACTGACATCCTTATCATTGCTGGACTTGCTACTCTTATTTTTCCCTTTGAATTTTTTGAATTTCTTGTCTTTCCAGCCTGAATTTTCTGATTTGGCCTTCAATGCACCCTCAACAGAAAATCCATCTTTTCTCATCATCCTCCTTTGCTCCTGAGCCTGCAAAGCATTAACCAACTCTGCCAAGGAAATGCTTGACAGATCCTTAGACTCTTCTAATGAAGAGATTTTTTACTCATACTTTTCAGGCAGAGTAACAAGAATTTTTTGAACAATTCTATCATCAGAGAATTCCTTACCTAGCAACCTTATTTTGTTGACAATTCCCAACAACTTGTCGGAATAATCATTAATCATCTCTAATTCCTTCATCTTCATCATCTCAAATTCTCTAATCAGGTTGAGAATCTACATATTCTTTGTTCTTTCATTGCCCTGATACTCCTTCTTGAGATAATCCCATATTGTTTTTGCTGAATCAAGATTCATGATCCTGGCAAAAATGGTGCTTGAAACGCCAGAGAAAAGACAAGCTTTTGCTTTTGACTTTCTTGTTCTTCTCTCCTTATGAGTTTTTATCTGCGCAACCGTTGGATTCGCCGGTAACGGTTGAACCTCATAATTTTCTTCTATAGCCTCCCAAAGATCCAAAGCATCAAGATACACCGTCATCCTAATGGCCCATGCTTGATAATTTTGTCCATCAAAAACTGGTGGAGCATGATGGCTAAAAACTGAGGAGATGTTTGTTTATGGAATTTCTCAAAAAAATTTCTAACATTTTAACCTAACTACTTTTTTTAACTCAACTTTAATTCAACCCCACTATCATTAAAATTATCAATATAATTAAATAATATCAATCAATCATTCATACACACCACATCAACCTTAATTCACTATTCATCCACTCACATTATTTTAACTAACCATCACTTCAAATCTCTCTCTCTTACTTTTACATTGAATCAATTTTAATTATTTTATTATAAATATTATTTTAATATACCCACTAACATCTAACCATACCACTTTTTCCAAAATTAACCAAACCAAACCAAAAACTCCAAACAAAACTAAAATTTTTTATAAACAAACATGCTCTGATTGTGTATCACTCTCCATTCTCACTCACAGGTCCCTCAAGATTTTCAGCTCTTAGATACCAATTTGTAGTATAAAAACTGATATAAAGGCTTAAAACTGAAAAGAACAATGTGAAAACTTGGAATAGACAAAAGATGATTCAGAAATTATATGGACTTGGAAGCATTTTTTACTTCTTATTCATACCAAATATTTATAGAGGAAACCAAAGGAAATAAACATGACTACAACTAATCTAAATAATCTCAACTGAATCCTGAAAATCAGCAACTACTAAAAGATAAGATAAAAGACTTATTCAAATACTCAACAATAAAAGACTAAGTCAAACTACTGAGACACAATTACTAACATTCACGTTCAACATTTCAATTGCATTTAGTCTCCAATTGGCAAAATTTGTCATGACCTTCATTGTGTGGATAAATTTCACCCAAACTTGTGTGAATTTCAGGAAATGGAATCCGGGAGGACAATTGGCAGTGCTGAATTGATGTCAGGTCTCTACATTTTCAAGTGTTGGAATAAACAAGCAACCAGCAACACAAAATTCACATCCTCAATTAAGAGAACGAAGAATGAAGAAGGAGATAGAGGAAGGAAGGGACAAGTAAAAATGGATTTTACTATCATGGAAACTGAAAAATGCTCGTGAGGTGTCAATTATAAATCGATAGAAATGAAATCCCTGCATTGCAAAACCCAATTTCTGTATGTTTTCCATTTCTTAAAATCATTAATGAAAAGATACGATAGAGAAATGAAGAAGCGAATTAACGATACTTCTTAATTCCAAATTGACACTGGAAAAGGTGGATTCTTGTAACATAAAACTAATCAGTGAAAGGTTAATGGGAAAAATTCATAAAATTTTCACGCCGCCTAAGGAAAATAAAAGCAATCATACCGGAGAAAACAAGCAAAGATGGTTGATTAGAGGTGCAACTTGTGGTAGCCGAGTGATAGTGGTGAGTGTTTTTTCTAGCGGGCGCCATTAAAGAGAGATTTCTTGTCACAGGGAAAAATTGCTGACGATAGAGAGAAAATGAGAATTGAATACGAAAATGGGTTTGCCTTTGCGCGTTTATAAGGGAATGAGCATCTGAGAAAGGCTCGAAAAGCGGGGTTCCCAAGCAAGTATCCGCCATATTCACCCGAATACTCTGCTTTCTTTCCAATGGCGACCGATAAAACAAACAGTGCTGAAAGCCACTGGATTTACTTGAAAATAGCTATTTTCAACCCAGACTAATTTTTTCACCTCAGTGCAAAAAAAGTAGGTAAATGAAAATAATTGAGAAAGTGTGACGATTGAAGATAATTGAACAAGTGCAAAATAATTATGCTATGAACTATATGATAAAAATGTGAAGATAAATGATAAAGTGCAAAATATTTATGTGATAAAATATGTGACAGACAGACAAAATTAATTGTGAAATAGTTATGCGATAAGTATGCCACAAGCAGATGAAGTTAACTGGACAAGTGTGAATTACTTATGCGATACACTATGCGCGACAGAAAAGGCGATGTTAATCGAGCAAGTGCGATCTCATTATTCGATAAACTAGGCGGAAGACAAGCGAAAATAATTGATAATAGAGCAAGTGTGAAATATATAAGCGATAACCTGGAAAATAATTGAGCAAGTGCGAAATAATTATGCTATGAGCTATATGACAGAAAGTCGAATATAATGGATAAAGTGCGAAATGTTTAAAATAAAACATGCGACAACAGACGAAATTAATTGCTAAAGTGCGAACCAATTATACAATAAATTATGCAAAAAGCAGGCAATGTTAATTGAGCAAGTGTGAATTACTTATGTGATACACTATGCGACAGAAATGCAAAGTTAATTGAGAAAATGCGATCTTATTATTCGATAACTAGGCGAAAGACAGGCGAAGTGATAATAGAGCAAGTGTGATCTTAATATGCGGTAAGCTAGGCGAAAGACATGCGAAGTTATAATCGAGTAAGTGTGATTCATTATGGGACAAATAAGGTGAAAGACAGGTGAAGTTAATTGAGCAAGTGCGAAATAATTATACAAAAAACAATGCGACAGAAAGGAGAAGATAATTGAACAAGTGTGATATAACATATGTGACAAATATGCGAAGTTAATTGGGGAAGTGCATAAAAATTATCTAATGAACTATGCGAGATATATGCGACGAATATGCATAAAATTGTGTGAATAGTTCGGTCCATCGCAGGTCTGTCTCATTTTAGTCAGAGATCAGTTTCTTGCACTTGTTTTTACATTTTTCCAGCTTCTCCTCAGTTATCAACTTTTCATGTAAGCCCGAGAGCGTGTTTCGACCGAAAATGTAGGTTTTCATGTGAGAAGCATGTGTCGTAATTGCCGCCTATGACCTGTCGAAGTTATTTGGTGACAATCCCCATTCTATGGTTGGAGACATAAAGTGTTTCCTCACCCAGTGTACCCATGTGGAGAGTTGGGGCATGAGACTCGCATGGAGTCGAGGACCTCTCGATGGCTCGACATTTGTATGTAGAGAATCATGTTTGAGTAAACAGTTCGTCGTTCTGATATTTCATTTGGATATATATGGTTCATCACGGATGGACAGAATATCATACTATCAGTTACTTGTAAAACATAAACAATTTGTTCACAATCAAGATAGAATTGAACAAGCAATCGCGAATGGTTGTAATGTAATTCGAGTTGGTTGATCTTAACTGATTAATTACACTAGTAGTGCATCTCGGACGTATTGAATGGATCCCAGAGAGGATAAGTTTGTTTTATATTGACCAAGTAAATGAACTAGATCTCGATTAATTACAATATTCTCTTAACCCAGAAGATAAGAACGGGCATATGCACTCAGTAATTGCTACTTTGATTCAACAAATAGTGAGATCCATTACACTAGGTCAATTGTCTAGGTAAGTTGGGTAGTAATGTTGTTTGTATGGTATGTCGTTCGATTATTTACGATCACCATGTGCGTTGGTTTGATGATGTCCTCGAAGTAAGCTCAAGAAGGATTGTTATGTCAACCCAGGCCAATGGATTTATTTCAGACATAATAATAAAGATTTGATTGGTACTAGTTTCGATTCAAGAAGTTAATTAATTATATTGTCAGTAATAAAATTAATTGACGGGCATTATATCTTAAACACGAGGAGGTAAATCAAGTAATTATTATTAGAGCCTCAAATATAATTTGGGTGCTAAATGGAGAGTGCAATAGTATTTTTTTAGTGGACTAAAATATTATTCAAGTTTGAGTTGAGTATGCTTGGCCCACAGTTAGGCCCATAATTGGGATGCTCGTATTTAACACCTCCTTATGGTCCCTGTTGTAGCATATAAATACACCACATCTCTTGAGATTTAAGGGAGGTTCACGCATAATAACACGCCCAATATATGTCAATCTTTCTTAAGAATCCCAATTGAGATATCTCCTAGAACGTCGCCCACCACGACGAATGCAGAAGTTGTCGGGTCCAACAGAAGATTTGAGGTAAACCGAGGCAGAAAATCACAATATATAATTAGGATCAGAACTTATGGTTTAATTTTTTTGGTGACTCCGAGATGTTTTCTGATTTCCGTTGATGGAGATCGTCTGAAATTCCTCGAGTCGCGTGCATCAGATATCGCTGGACTGGTCTCAGGATTGCCAGGTTGCGCGGGGTGCTGCTATGTCCATGTGCGGACAGAAGTTAGGCGTTGTCGTGCGATGTGAGGTCAGGGCTGGAGTGGTCCGCGTGCGTTACGCAGTTGGGTGCTTATACTGTAGAGGTCGAGAAATCGTGTTTCGCGTGCGCTGTCGTTACGCGGGGTCACAATGTCGTGCACGAGGCGTGTTGTGGTGCACGGACGGGGTGCGCGGGCGCCGCACGTGGCGCTGCGTGTCGGGCTCTGACTTTGTGCACGAGTTGTTTTCGAGGGCTATGAGCACCAGATGCCGGTGGCTGCGAGTGCCGTACGACGGGTCTGGTTATAATCTCGGTGCTGGTGACCGTCCTATCTAAAATTGGTGACTCGAAAAATCTTTGGGGTTGAATATATAGATGTCGTACGACGGCTCTGGTTCATTAGGATGCGAAATATAGCCCTTACGATCTTTTGTTGTATATCCTTTACACCTACTTCGAGTAGTCTTTGTGGTGTGACTAAATGGAACTTCCAATTCTCACGATCTAAGACTCACAATTTCTTTTCTCTCTTTTTGAGACCTAAAAAACGTGGGAAAGTGTGTTATGGACGAAGTCATGAGACTTTGTGTATTTATAGGTTACAGCAGACACCTTAAGGAAGTGCTAAATATGACCATAATAGTAGATTTAATTGCCCTGTGATTTATTATGTCATGCTAATTAATTTATTGGTTTAATGCAGGCGATAATTAGGAATTGCATAATTAAAAAATCTTAATTAAATTACTAAGTTGAGAAAGAAACTTTAAAATCAAAGTTGATTTTAAATGAATCCTAAAGCCTCCATTACCTATTTGTGGTGATGCAATTAATGGCGAAGTGGACCTCTCCAACGGCAGACATTTTAAAAATTAATTGTAGGATCACTAGAACAAATTTGAAATGATGATCATAGGAATTATTATTGAGCGTGTGGACCTCCCCAATGTAGGACATACAATCAAAAAATAATTTCCTTAGGTTTAGGTAATGTTTTCACTTAGAACGTAATAAAAGAACTCCTCCCCAATGGAGTTGATGGACTTCTATTATGTGGCCAGAAGGAAACCGACTATTAATTTTATTTGCCATGAATGGACTTCTCGTACAAATGATGAGCGAGTTTAGAGTTGTCCAATGTGACATACATAAACTCTCGGTGTAATGAGATGTCGGTGAATTTAAGTTAATGTTGTTTTGAGGATATCAATATTAACAAGTTAAATTCAATTATTTAATCAGTAAAAATTTTCATGATTCTCAGGCTATATTCAACATGTCTTTCAATCTGTTATCTGTGGTTCTAAAAGAAAACAAACTTACTAGTCCAAATTACACTGATTGGAGAAGGAACTCTCACGCAGGTCTATTCGGATGCCCCCAATGATAACGCCCCAGATCATGAGAAAGAGGTGTATCAGAAGTGGATCAAGGCTGATGAGATGGCTCGCTGCTACATATTGGCATCTATGACCTATGTGTTGCAGCAGCAACATCAGACGATGGGTTCTGCTTATGAGATGCTTATGAATCTCAAGGATCTCTTCAGCCATCAGCCTAGGGCAGCACAATAGCAGGCTATGAAATTCTCTTATCGACCACCATGGCAGAGGGCACTCCCGTAAGGGATTATGTCCTTAGGCTAATAGAACAGTTCAATGAAATGGAGGTTTTAGGAGGACAAAACGGTGGGGAAACCCAGGTCGATATTATCCTCAATTCGTTGCCTAAGAGTTTTGACAAGTTTCGCCTCAACTACAACAAAAATAATATATTGCTATTGTTTCCAGAACTTCTCGGGGAACTCCAAGAGGCGGAAGGAATCTTTCAACAGAATTCTCAAGTGCTTTTGTTGCCGAGCAGGCTGGTCTATTGACTTATGGCCCAAAAGGTTCAAGAAGAAGAGGCAATCCACTAAGAATGATGGGAAAGCACCAATGCCCGTTGTCGCTTCGGCGAATGGACCATCAAGAGTGAAGAAGCTTAAGGGTAAGTGCCACTGTTGTGGGAAGACAAGGCACTAGAAGACCAACTTCCCTAAGAAAGGCAAGGAAGGTAATTCTTATTCTTTTGTCGTAGAAACATGTTTAGCGGTTGTGTCTACTAGGACTTGGTGGGTAGACACGGGAGCCACTAATCATGTCTGTAAATCCTTACAGGGTTTCTAGAAAACCAAATGGCTTAAGGAAAGGTAGATTACCGTCTACATGGACAACGCTACGAAAGTGGCAGCAGTTGCAATAGAAGACGTTAATTTAGATTTTTCTACAAGTAGTTTGGTTTTAAGACATTGCTTATTTGTTCCTTCGTTTAGAAAGAATCTTATTTCAGTTTCTAAACTCGTTATGGATGGTTGTTCATTTATGTTTAATGACAAAATTGTTATTCGTTATGCAAAGAGTTTCATTTGTGAAGGTTCATTAGTAGGCAATTTATATGTTCTTAATGTTAGAGGTATAGAACCCAACACTTAAACCAAACAATCCCATACTGCCACAAAAGAAATTAATAGCACATC